TTAGATTAGACACGACCTTCAGTAATGAGAGACCGACTCAGAAGAAGATATGAAACAAAATTGTAAAGCAATTTGAAACCTCAAACAATTCCTTTCAGACAGAGAAAATGTTAATCTTTTTAGGGCACAGTAATGAGATGTTTGTACAATGAAATCTTACTGTTATTGGTTTAAACATTAAACTTGTATTAGTAAGTACTAACTAATAATGACAAAGGTGCGTCTGTTGTCGGGTTTTAAACGAATTTTAAAGTAGGTAGGTAGGAGGTACCTGTGTCCGATAATATTGTTTACTTAATCACTGTTTACGTCTGGTAAAATTTATAATACGTTGTTTGGTTAAATGAGTCGTCTATTATCAAAGGTGGCAATCTGTGCATTTGGACAAAAAAAAATTATTGATATGTCAATACAGATTTAATTGAATATAATCGTCTCCTTCAAAGAATACGGTTCAAAACCTGCATTAAATAAAGGTTAATAGTTAACCTGTTATTTATCTAAGATGTCGTTCCGAAGAGTTTTGTGACTGCCAATGGAATACAAAGTCAATAATTCGTTTTTCTGATTTACCAATCATTGTCCAAAAGTCAGATTGCCGCCTTTGATAATAGTCGACTCAAATATGTGTAGTTCTGTTCTTGTTTAAACATTGTTATCTTATAGAGCGTGTTATTTTGAATGCGCGTTATCTGTAGGAGTATTTCAATCTATACTAATATTATAAAGAGGAAAGATTTGTTTGTTTGTTTGTTGAATAGGCTCCGAAACTACTGAACCGATTTGAAAAATTCTTTTACTGTTCGGAAGCTATATTATTCCCGAGTGACATAGATTATAATCTTTTTGGAAAAAAATTAGGGATCCTTACTAAAACTCTAATAATGTAACCCAAGGTGTAAAAAATTCCCTAAAATATTCTTTATCTCGCGTGCCCTGCGAAAACTATTCATGATAGAATAAAATAATGTACTACGACTTTGTAGAGCATGTTATTTACAAAAATTGTCGCGACAGCATATGTCTAACTATTATAGTTATGCCGCAATAAGTGTTCTTTTATTTTAAAAAATAAAACAACGTCAAATATCGGTGAAATTTTTGTTAAAAACCCGAGCGGAGCCGGAGCGGACCGCTAGTGTTTAATATCGAGAGACGAAAAGCTATTTGTTTTAAACGACACTATTGCAATATTACAGGAGAGCAATTTGAAGTTTAAAATTTCGAAAAAAATATCATAAAAAGAAAGCTTCTTCAGCTATTTGAATGGAGTAGACTTAGAAGTTCAATTAAAAACTTCGAACTGCAGATGCTAATCTATACATATAAATAAAATTGGAGTGTCTGTTTGTAATATTGAAATAACCGCTATTTACTATATGCATATTATTATGAATATATATACGGTACATACACCAAAATAACATTTTTTACAATTTTATTCTTTCTGTCTGTTTGTTTCGGCTAATCTCTGGAACGGCTGGACCGATTTAGACAAAACTTTCACCGATAGGTAGCTGATGATATAAGGAGTAACTTAGACCACTTTTTTTAGACTAGCTTCGCCCCGCGGCGTCACCCGCGGTACGACAATAACCGCGGCTAACATCGCGGGACTCAACTGTCAATAATAAAATTTAATGTTTCCACTAGGGAACGCTAATGTATCGCTAGTACCAAATAAAACGCACCTTTAATTGCAAAGATAAATGTCGCGTATTAAACGAAATGTCGCTTAAACCAAATAGGTTTTAATTCACCTCTCAATATGTTTTTAAACTAGCGAACCGCCCTCGCTTCGCTTCGGAAACATTAAAACACACATGAAACAGAAAAAAAAAAAAAAAAAAGTAGCCTATGTTCATCAGGGACAATGTCGGCTTCTAATGGAAAAATAATTTTTCAAATCGGTCCAGTAGTTTCGGAGCCTATTCGAAACAAACAAACAAACAAATCTTTCCTCTTTATAATATTATTTTTAAATTCACGTGATCTCCCTTGATCCTCAATTGAAAAACCGCAGTTCGTTAACACTACACCGTGAGTGTTGACGCCTACTTTGACACAAGATGTTAAGCTCTCGAGTCTCGAGTGCATAAGAATAACGGTTATATCCGACCTTTACAGCGAAGAAGGCAGGATTCAACGCGTAAATACCTTCATACGTTTGGCCGCTTCGTTGTGATAGAACGGAATAATTTTAAAACGTTTGTGAACGTGATTTAATTGTTGTAGTCCTAGGGTACCCCGCTGGTACATAGGGCCCTCACAAGTTGTCTCCACTTTACCCTGTCTTGCGCTTGCTCCTTGACATCACTCCAGGTCACGTTGGCAGTCCTCATCTCACTCTTTACGGTGCGTCGCCAAGAGTGTACAGGGCGACCAGGTCTTCTCCTGCCAAGCGGTTGCCACTCAAACGCGATTGATGCTGCGTTGACTCCGCTGCGCCGTAGAGTGTGTCCTATCCAACGCCATTTCCGATGAGCAATGTCTTGCGCGATGGGATTTCGGTCACATTTAGTTTTTGATATAATAATAAATAATTAACATTTGCATCTGAAACTTTTTTCGATGCTCCATATTAAAACATCACAAGCCCGGATTTTCTAGGTTATTAGACAATAAAAATTAAAGCATTTCACAAAACTTAACTGACTCCGATTAGGAATCTAATAATGGATCAAAAATTCTACCAGCCAGTCGAAAAAGCTATTTTTATTTTTATTTAAAAAAAAAACAAAAGAAATATAACAAAAACAATAAGATAGTTTTTTTTAATTTACTGCTCGTGCTAGTTCAGAAAGTATGATACAATTTGCATCTTCCCGATTCACAGGTCTGCTTGTGTTACTTTATGTTGCAATACAAAACAACTAGTCGATTTGTAGATCCATATGTAAGTTAAATCACGTATAAGCTCTATTTATATATAGCTTATCTGCCCTACTTATATATAGCTTATCCTGCGATGCTTGAGTCATGGCATTTATTATGATTAAAAAAAAAACATGTTAATCTAGATTATGAAAGGTCGAACGTCCTTGGGGTGAGCTGCGCTGTCTGGTTCAAGTGTTGACCGCGATAACCTCTTCTGACGTATCGAGGTCAGATCCCAGGTGAGGTACGTACGTCCCCCAACGGTCTCCTCGGGGGATCGTACGCTTGGACGAGAGTGCAGGGGAGTCATTTAGTGGCTAGGGTCTTAAATTCCATCTCTTGGGCCCGCGGTCCGCACCCAATATCTGCGAACCGGTCCCATATGCACCAAGAACACCGCAGGCACGCCCAACCCGAAAAAAAAAAAGCAAAATTGTTGTCAAACGCAGATTTCATCTATATAGTTTCAGTCATGTTTTTGTGATTGAATCATAAACATCCAAACTTATATATAACCTACATGTTTATAGTATTCGTATAGGTAATTGAGGCTTAAGTTGCCAGGCGACATGACGACCCACCAGGCAGTATTAGGCTGCTGGACCTCTAATAAATCACAACGTAAATACCGCCACCCAACTAAATACACGGACAAATTTCAATTAAATTGTACTTATATATTCTTTTTTTTTCCCTACCTATTCTACTACTACTACTAATAAGGTTATTCTAGATTCACCGAACAAGTAGGTGAGCTCACGGGGCTCAAACCGGAGGTGTTGCTAACACTGGCCCTAGCAAGAGCAGTGCTTTGCAGAATCTACCACCGGATCGGAAACGCGACCCACTGAGAAGATCCAGCGAGAAAATGTGTGGGCTGTGTCTATGGGTTAATTTACTCGTTATATTCAATATTGAGTCGAAACTACATAGTTATCAGTGGGTGGAATGTTATTAGCGTTCGCTAAGAAGCTATCTACCATAACTTTTTAGCGTAAGTATTTTGTTAAATCGACGCCAATAAAATTATAATGAAGCTTACAAACAACATAAAGATTTATTATAAAGATTATTTGAGCCTGTACTATTATGGAACGCGATATTTAAGTGAGCGCTTATGTTTAAAGTGGTAGGTAATATTAACTAAAATAAAAAAAAAAAAAAAAATTGAATTTAATGTTCACCGGTGTTAGGGCGTCTTGTGAGGCAGCACGATTTTTTTATTTTTTATTGCTTAAATGGCTGGACGAGCTCACGGCCCACCTGGTGGTAAATACTTACCGGAGTCCATAGACAACTACAACGAAAATGCCGCCACTCACCTTGAGACAAGAGTTTTGGTCTAAGTTATAACAGTACAACGGCTGCCCCACCCTTCAAACCGAGACGCATTACTGCTCCACGGTAGAAATGGCAGGGTGGTGTTACCTACACGTGCGGAACCACAAGACATCCTACCACCAGTAATTACGCAAATTATAATTTTGAGGGTTTGATTTTCATTACACTATGATTTTTCCTTCACCGTGACCATTTGTTAAATACGTATTTCATTAGAAAAATTGGTACCCACCTGTGGGATTCGAACACGGTTGTATCGCTTGATACGAAGGCACCTTATCCTTTAGGCGACGACGACTACATAAGCTCGGGTAATTTAAAGCAAATCAAATTAACTTCATTGAAAACTCAAACATCGAACGACAAAGTATTTTTAACCGACTTCAAAAAAGGAGGAGGTTCTCAATTCGACTGTATTTTTTTATATTTGTTACCTCATAAGTTTTAACCGGGTGAATCGATTTTGATGATTCATTTTTTATTAGATATCTGACGCTTCCCGTGTCGTCCCATTTCAATTTAGTCCAGTTCTGATAATGGTATCCATGAAAAAAACATAGAAATCTTAAATTTGCCTTAAGTACGTGCGCAACAAATAGATTAATAACTCAATATCACACCAACCGATTTCGATGATTATTGTTTTATTAATTTGTTTTGGAATATCTTTTTTTTTCTATTTGAAGTCGGGTTTTGTTAATGCATGTCTATTTACAAATATTATATTTAAAAGTGTTCTTAAAATTGCGTTGTGTTTCTCAACCTTTTTTATTTGTCCCCAGTTGCGGCAGTATGTATTTGTTTGGAAGTCGGGGCGCTGCCGAGCCGACGCAGCGGCTTCACGTGCAACGATCCAGCTCTCTCTTTCCCGCATACGGGAGACACGTTTTCCATCTCGCTTGTCGCAGCCATTACGGTTATCGTGCCTTTTTTCGTTGTGAGTACAGCACTACGTTTCGTTTTTTAAATCGATTTTTCAAGATCAAAATTGATAAGAAAATTAATAAAAAGAGCGAGTTAAAAATTGCGATTAATCTATTATGGATCTAAAGAATGCTAGAACAATGATTGTATTCGACCATCTACGATTCTGCCTTAAATAATTTTACTTTATAAACTGAAAAATAACATTGGGCAAAGTGCTCTTTAAGTCAGACTGAAGAAGTATAATCTCGATAAAGTTTACATGTAACAAAAATTAATTCCAAGGTCAGATTTACCATAATAATATTAAGTTTATGATGTAAGACTTAGAAGTGGCCCAATAATTGAACATTTTGTTTATACCGAGAACTACGACTTCAAGCTAATAAAATGTTAAAACAAAATTCAGTGTTTATAGCTTACAATTGTACGACCGGCTGCCAGTCTCACATCCAACACTTGATTATTCTACAACTATGAAAGATTATTAAGTTTGAATGAGTTTAAAGTAAGCGATATGTGATGAATTCAAGTTAAATATTAAAACGCCCTTAGAAAATAATTCTAAATAACACAAGCCGCGCAGTGAAACGTCGAAGAGATTTAAGATAATATTGTTTATTCGATGCGTTCTAGCAGTTTGTTTGTGAACTTGCGTGTTGACCCGACATTGTTTAGTGAATGTCAACAGCAAGTAGGATGTTTGTATAGTAGTGTTTACAGGCGGTCAAGTGCATTTATAAAAGCGGACATGCGCTCTCAAAGTTGTAGGAAGGCGTTGTTTGTTGCATAATTCGTAGAGCGGGTCAAGAAATGCTTCAGGGGGACAGTACATGTAGTAATTACAAAACTTAAAACAAGTGAATATTGTTTAGATCACTTGACGGGCTTATTCCTCAGAGCGAGACTATGTATTTACAAAAAAAAATTTGCTTACTAAAATTGTAGAAGTCATGGATAATATTCTAAAATAAAATAAAATAAATGTAAATTCTGTGACTAAATATGTAGTGTCAAATGTACAAATAGCACCACTCCATCTCTTCGATAATTGGACAGAAACATTATCAAAGTCTTAAATCAGCGTCTAAGATACGCCCAACCCGTACTTAGTGTTGTCCTAACCTAAACATCAGCCCGCTGAGTTTCTCGCCGGATCTTCTCAGCGGGTCACGATTCCGATCCGGTAATAGATAATTCGGTAATTCGCGAAGCAGCTACTCTTGAGTTATTAAGTCTTCTTTGGAGGCGCTCGGGTAGCTGTTAGCAAATTTCATTCCTCCTGGCTGAGCCAGAAAAAAAAGTGTTGTAGTGTGTTGTTAGCCCAAAGCGACGCCACGATGCAGTCAGCATTCTAGTTTGATGTACGTGGACAGCTGGTGTACATTGTAAATACAATTGACACTTTGACCTTTTGTGTCAAAGTGGGTGGTGACATTCACATTGTCGTATCATAGTTCTAGTAATCACTCTGCACTAGTTAGGTAGGCCCTGAGTTCGTTCACCCACATATACAAAAGTAAATACAATATATAAAAAGTAGGTACCATGACGTATTTAAAAAGACATAATTGATATACTAATATTTTATGTACGTTAATAACGGGACAAGGCACACAAGATAATTAAATTACATAATATAATAAGCACATGGCACACATTAGTAAACGTTCAAAACACTTAAGTAGAATGACTAGCTACCAAAGCTATTGGAAGTCAGTACAGTAAAACCTTAATTTAACTACATCTATCCTTGCGTGTTAATTAAGTCGCTAAATTCGAACGTGATTAGTAATGAAATAATATAAGTGTTATGTATTAGTTGCTATTTTGTAATTGATGTTTTATCCAAGGCAAGAAAAAAATTACATATACTATATATATCCAATTTAAGTCTGGAAGGAGAAAAAAAATCAGCACACGAAAATTATGAAAATCACTGACTATGAGTAGACATGAAATATATAAATTATTTCGGCTCGTCGCTGCTTAACTACAAAATTGGTTATGGCTAATTTTAAATAAATTGATGCCTACCCAAGGATTGAACCGTGGTAACACATCAGGAGACTAATGTATTACGGTCATTAACACTTCTAAGGCCGCGATTTTAATATTAAGCAATACAAAATACCAAGTATAATTAATAATGTTTGTGATATGTGACACTTCAAATGCTAATATATTATAATAAGGTCTTGAAGTGATCTTGTTCGGCCATATTTAAAATTAAATTGTTCAACAATATTTATATTGAATCGTGAATTTCAACTTTCACCTCTACTACGTTAGGTATGAAAAAACCTTTGTGCATATTCTATGAGGCATTTGCCCGGTTTTATAATTTAAACACAAAAGGAGGTCGACTTTAACTTTGAGAGCCGTCGACCACGCTAACATCATGGTTGGAACGCGTAAATATTAAACTGGGTTGCGCCCGAGGGTTAGGTACTATCGACCCTTCAACTAAAAGTAGCTCCGTAAAATAAAGCTTCCACGTCATTACTAATTAATTTTCATGTTAAATTATTTAGTACGTTGTAATATTGTTTAGGCACCCCTTTTATGTTATATAACAAAGAAATATTTTGGGATTAACTTCGTTGTATTGGTACTTTGCGGGGGGAGTTGAAGATGGAGAACTGAAGAAATCTTTCCAGTCATGCTTTCCGGTTTGAGGGTTGGGACAGTCGTTAAGCAATACAATTGAGACTTCAATTGACGTCACAAGGGTGGTGGGCGGCGGTAGTCACTTACGACCGTATGTGACCTAGCTCCGTCATCTACGCAATAAATAAAATGAAGAATGAAATTTCATACGAATTTAATTACAAATCAGGAAAATTCAATTTTTTTTTAAAAGTACCTACATCTCATTGTGACAATGCAATTTACTTCAAAAACATTGTAGCCGTATTCTGAGCGTATGTAACAAAATTTTCCGCGATTACAAGTGTATTAACTTTAACACGAGAACAAACAAAAATCAGAATTGCAAATCCTTATTGTAAATGCTTGAGCTTGTAATGATTTTAAGTGTAATTGTTAAGGCTATGATGCCACCAAGCGTATTTGTTCAACGGTTGACGAGCAATCGAAGGTATGATGAGTGAACAATGAATTCCGAATATAACCCTCAGACACATCCCATTGAGTTTCTCGCCGGATCTTCTCTGTGGATCTCTTTCTCTCACGATTCTAATCCGGTGGTAGATTCTGCGAAGCATAGCTCTTGCTAGGTCCTACCACCAGTTCTAGATTTAGATAGATAATAGATAATTTGATCGTCTGATAGCGTTATCTGACCCTGACTGCGTTGATCAATGTTTCACCTTATATATTATATGACATTTACAATGTTGACTCTGTATTTTGCAAAGTCTATGTCTGCTGTGATATGCAGATATTACATACTTAAACATTACAATGTAATCAGTACAGTGTAATCTTCTCGCGTCTTTAACATTATTTGAACGCTAGTGTTTTGTCATACAAATTAGAAATTTAGTGAACAGTGTTCAAAATATGCCTAGATATCTATATAACAATACGTGAAGCAAAAACTTTGTACCCCTTTTTACGAAGAAAATTTCGCGGACGGAGGACTGTGTTTCCACACTTATAGAGAATATAGAGAAGGAGTGCAGAATGCTATATATTTGTGTTTGACACAACACATACATATAAATATACCCACTCTTTGTTTATTGTCAATTGTCTAACTTTAGTTATTGTTTAAAGTCTGTGGTCAAATTGAGAATAGATTAATATTGTTTGTCTTTAATATTATTTAGCTATAGTGTAGTAATGGCAAAATCTGTGATATTAATATAGAAGTGTAATAGTCTTTGACAATAGAATCAGAATAATGTTTAAACTTATAATGGCAATGAATTATAATAGAATTTTGACTACTGGGGAAGTTGATATAAATACACTTCAGTGCATATTTGATTTTTAATTTTGCCTTTCATCCTCATGATTCAAAGTTTATGTTGGTATCAATGTTACAAGCTGACTGACACGGTGGTGCAATAGTTAGCGCCCTTGACTGTTGCGCTGAGGGTCGTGGGTTCAATTCCCACACCGGGCAAATATTGTGTGATGAACAAGTTTGTTTGCTCTTTGTCTGACTGTTTGTTATCTTTGTATGTATATATTTAAACATATACTGCGTGCTAGGAGAGCACTTCCGAAAATGAAGACAGACGATAGTACTAATGACACTTTTGATGATAGGAAAAAAAATTGATTCTGATTTAAAAAAATATATATTTTTAAAACGTTTTATTAGCATTATTTACGCTCCACCATGTTAGTACAGCTAAATGAAACGATAGTTTCATAAAAAATACATTACTCTACTAAAAAAAACCAGCAATGAAACACAAAATCAAAAACAGCTGATGCCCGGATCAACGAACGCCCGTACGCGGCGTTTCTTTTACACGCACACCGGTGCGGTGCTAATACCGCGCTCCCCAAAATTTACAACTTTTTAGGGTCAAAATTATCGTTTTCGGAAGCGGTCTCCTAATACCCAGTATAAAGATGTTTATCAATCTCTGGTACAAATAACACAAGAAATCCTAAATGCTTTGCTAAAAATGCTTTTTTTTAAGTTCACAATCTGTACCCAAATACGGTTTACTTTCAGCTCTGGGCCGTAGAAGCGATGCTATATCAAGACGACGAATACAACATGAAGAAAAGAAAGATGCTGGCCAGCGCTAAAACCGCCGGTCTCATCTACAGAGATTACATATACGGGGCGGTCGTTAATCTCACCATCCTTGAGGTGGTCAAGTGTGTGGTCGGCACTCCGAGGCCCACGTTCTTTGACCTCTGCCAACCAGACAAAGCGTTGACTTGCAATGAGTGAGTATAGATACATTTATTGTGCATTTTTTTTTATTAGTTCTGAGACATGAGTTGTAAGATCTCAATTCAGTACAACGGTTGCTCCCCCCCTTCAAACCGAAACGCATTACTGCTTCACGCCAGACACACTAGACGCCGTCCTACCACTATTAAGCACCACCACAACAACAGCATGTATTTGAATACAGACATTTTGGAAGCGTAATTCTTAATTTCCACATCCCTGTTTAGCGCTATATTGTAACCTCAGGGAACAAGTCATAGAGTTAGGTTATAGGTAAACATTCCAGCGAGGAACTTTCCAAGCCACTTGGAGAAGTGACGTGGGATTATCCTTCACAAAATTGTCGAACAACCCATGTTATGTTTGGTACAGCAAGCAACTGTGGTTCCTTTAGTCGCATGCGTGATTTCAACTCACCTTGGATTTTGTCGGTGGATCGTCAATCAGAATAGAAGTGCGAACGTGACAGTTAGGAAGAAGCTTTATTATCCCTACCTCTTCGCTGGTAGCCTGAGAGGCCATTCCAGCTACGCCCAGACGGGTAGGTCAGCTCGCGGGCTCAACCTGAGTGAATTTGCTAACACTAGCCCTAGCAAGAGCAGTGCTTCATAAAATCTATCATCGGATCGGAATCGCGACCACTGAGAAGATCCGGCGAGAAACTCATTGAGTTTAAAACAACGCTTTTACTAGCGACCCGCCCTCGCTTCGCTTCGGAAACATTAAAACACCCATGAATCCAAAATGTTCATCAGGGACAATGTCGGCTTCTAATGGAAAAAGAATTTTTCAAATCGGTCCAGTAGTTTCGGAGCCTATTCGAAACAAACAAACAAACAAATCTTTCCTCTTTATAATATTAGTATAGATGATTCCTCTAATGCAGCCTTTCCCAAAGTGGGCGCTGCAAGCCTAAAGGGGGGTGGTAAGAGTCCCAGAAAAAATGGGGGCGTTGTGTAAAGGCTTGGAAGGTGATTTATAATTTCATCTAGAAGGACTCTTATACACCGATTGAGCTCTCGCTATAGTGAATTTTGAAGTAGGTGAAAAGACGGGGGCGCTAAAAAATAATTTAATCTCAAAGTGGGCAGCAGACAAAATAAGTTTGGGAGCCCCTACTCTAATGTAATGCTCAAAGCTAAATATACTTTAATTCCTACCCCTCATAGTTCCGAGTACGTGAGCAGCTACAAGTGCACTTCGACTCAGTACTCCAGGTACTTGCAGATCGATTCCAGCAGGAGTTTTCCTTCGGCGCACGCTTCTCTTTCCGTTTACTGCGGTTTGTTCTTGGCGGTAAGTTCTTAAAGAATGTTCTAGAAACAGTTTTACGTTTGTGTTAGTAAAGTTATTTACTATCGAGACTTAGTGAGACCCGCTAAAGCTAAAGCGTTCTAAAGCAACTTAAGGCATCATCTATGTATCGAAAGCCAAAGACATGTAGCCTCTTTCTGTTTAATTCTTTAATCGATACAAAATATCCTTTTTTTATTATTAGAACTGCTCTTTATCAGAACTACAAAAGCTATAGAGCTGTTTCATATGTTGTTGTTTTTCTTCTACTTTTTTCCTTGCCTCTGCAAGGTAGTGCATACGGCTCATTTGATTGAAAGTGTGTACCGTCACTTATGGATGTCAGCAATATCAGAGGTACAACCAATTCGGTGCCTACTGAAATATTTATTCGAATACAGTAAGGCCCAAGCAAGCGTAATCTAAATAACCAATTTACTGATGATTAGTATTCTAATGTGGCATTGGTTTATTAATAACTAAACAGAAAACTTGTATATAAAATTTATATCCTCGTTGGTCTCTGGTCTTTAGTAAATTTGACAACTATACCACAACGTTTAGGGCCGATTTCCCATAGGAATCTTCTATAAAGTTGGCGTTCGAAGATTGGGATGTGAATATTAAGGCACTCAGAATACTACAGAATATTCTATCTTGCAATCATTATCATATACGTAAGGTATGGCAACAGCATGCGACCACACGTCATTTCGGATCCTCCCGATCCACTAACGGTGCTTTTAGGTACCTCAAGTACCGGTCATCGTTCTCGTCGAATCCGTCGCTTGTGACGAAGAGCTTGACGAGTAAATTAACCCACGGACACAGTCCACTGAGTTGCTCGCCGGATCTTCTCAGTGGGTCGCCTTTCCGATCCAGCGGTAGATTCTGCGAAGCACGGCTCTTGCTAGGGTTCGTGTTAGCAACGTCGTCAGGTTTGAGCCCCGTGAGCTCACCTACTAGTTAAGGTTACGCTCAAATAGCCTCTCAAGGCTATCAGCTTAGGTAGGAAAAAAAAGCATGCGACCGAGCGAAGAACTAAAGTATAGCGTAAATTAATTACATCAACAGTGGTACCTCCAGCGTCGGGCTTTCAGCTGGCACAACCGCTCAGTGCTGCTGATCCCGCTGGCCCAGGTCCTGGCTCTGGTGTACGCGGCTGTGTGCTCGCTGAGCCGACTCACCGACCACCGGCATCATTGGTGGGACGTGCTCGTTGGCGGACTGATGGGTGTGCTTAGTGTCATGTACACGGTAAGTCCTTCGAAGATCCTATCAGACTTTTAATACGTAAGACCAACCCGACTCTAAAAGGGTAAGAAATGAAATTGTTTTCTAATAAATTATATTGTGCCGAAAATTAGTACTAAAATGGCATTAGGACGTAATGTCATCGTACTTATTGGATATTGAATTATGTGCTATTTTGTCTAATCGATAAAATTATATTCAATACCTAACAAATGGATTTCTTATTCGGATGTCCTTTGGTCACAGTTTGAATATTAATTCTGAATAGACTGAGTCAGTTTCCCCTTTCGAAAACAATGTATGTACATCCGTTAATTCCAACTCATAAAACTTATGTTCAGAGCTAGATTACAACGAAATATTTTAGGAGGTCTCATAGCAGTATAGTGATCCAATGAAATCTGAAATTTTCTCAAGCGTGGAAGTGGGAATCGATTTAAAAATTACATTCTAAGAAGACCTTTCCTGTCCTAATAAAATATTTACTTGAAAGTAGAAGTTGATAATCTTTGTTATGCTAGTGTGGGGTCAAATAGAATTAATTCATATAAATTGTTTTCTATGTCACAGGGACAAAGATAGATGGGAACCCATTTTCAGCACGCAACAATTATTGTAATAGATAATAAATAATATTTTAACAAACTTCTATTATTCATTATCATAATTAGTAATGCGCGTCCCATATTCCGTATTACTCAATTTAGCAAAATATTAATGATTTAATATTTCATTTTCAGTTATCACAATTTGACTTTGAACTATGCAATTCCTTTGTCTAAAATTAGTGCAGTAGTTTATTTTGACAGCTAAATGTCAAAATAAAATGTTATTAGATTAGATATCTTTAGACATGTCGGCACAGGGAAACTGGTTATACGTACTCATTATAAAACAGTCTCGTAAGTTTTACTTATCAAATCAAGCTTCCGAGAACGATAGTCGCCGCATGTGTTTTGGATGATTAGTTTTTTTTTTTTTATTAATGTTTCCCTCATTGAAAGGCATTAAGCTAGGATTTTCTACTTCATTATGAATTCCGGAAACACACATACAAATCGAGAACTAGTCTAATCAAAATCAGTAGTTAAGGTCAACATTAAAGTGACCTCAATTGATACTTACCTCACTGTTTCTATGATGTTTTTAGAAATAATGTTTTTTTTTATTATTGCTTAGATGGGTGGACGAGCTCACAGCCCACCTGGCGCTAAGTGGTTACTGGAGCCCATAGACATCTACAACGTAAATGCGCCACCAGCCTTGAGATATAAGTTCTAAGGTCTCAAGTATAGTTACAACGTCTGCCCCACCCTTCGAACCGAAACGCATTACTGCTTCACGGCAGAAATAGGCAGGGTGGTGGTACCTATCCGTGCGGACTCACAAGAGGTCCTACCACCAGTAAATACATTTTATAAAGTATATAAATTTTAAGATGTATACCCACATATTCACACAGTAGAAAATGTTTGATAACGCATCGTCAAATAACAAAATTAATATGAACAGCTACATTTGCTCTACCGGTGGCGGGGGTTGAATTTTAAGCCTAAGCCATAAGTCGTGTTATGATAAGTCCTAAAAAAATGTAATTGCGACTTCGTATCGATCTCTTGTCTCCGGGCGGGTAGTCGTTGTAATGCGATCCTGAAACCATTTCGAATTTATAAAAAAAAATGATTTTATTGTAAAAAAGCGTGGGGTGTTTGCTTTTCAGGATATTATCAAAATAACTCTTCTACTCATATCTGTTCATAAAATATTTATAACTACTGATGATACCATGCACCCCACGCTTTTTTTTAACAATAAAAACATTTTTTCTTACACTATTTTTAATTCAAATTTATTAAAATTTATTTTCTATTTTTTTTTGTTAGATTTTCTATAAAAGCATATTTTGTTAGTTTTTTTAAACTATTTATTTTTTATTTTTTAGTTGAATTTTAAGTTTTTCAATTATTATTTTTTCAAAATTTAATATTGAATTGTCATCGGTCCTTAATAAGTATATCAAATTTCAAGTCTATCCGACGTTTTGAAGGGGGTCAAAATCATGTTCAAAGATTCCGTTACAAACATACATACTAACAACATACATACGTCTGAAGCTAATAAAAGCGTATTAAAATAGACCGTAATACTGAAGAAAACGCTTCTTTTTAGATCGTAGTCCTCTGCAAGAACTTCTCACAGCCGTCCGTGGTCAGCACCAGTGACATATCGAGCAGCGACGGCAACAACCACCAGGCCGTCCAGAGGCTTCTCTCGAGCGCACCGAGGGTCGTGGTGCCCTAGCCACAAGCGGTGTAAGCTGAACGCTTACCGGAACTGGCAGGGGATAATAGACCCAAGTGCGGTGATTATGTGAGTGAATTTACACTACAGCCAGGTGACGTAGGAGACGGTCGATGTCAAAAAAAAATCTAATAATTCTAGATTACGATTCTAGATTAAGCAGAGGACGAGAACTGAGAGGTATGATGAATGAAAAGTTTGTTGACGGCAATGATTTGTCGCGTCAATACGGAATGAATAGAAGTCTTTCGGAATTCGATTATCAATAATAATTCGATGTAAACGATTAAAAGATACTTTACAAAAATATCGATTCAGATTGTCTCGATTCTGTTCGTGTTATCGTGATTCGGGTTTTGAATCTATGTAATAAATCGTTACAATCGTATATAAATGGTAATAAAGCTTAAGTGAAATTTATTATCTTTAGCGACGTTTCGTTCGGATTCTACATATTTAGTTTTAGAGATTTTATGAGACTTGACAATTAGAAGGCAGCTTAGTTTCTTAGAGCCATTAGAAGCGGTAGGCGCGAGTCAAATGCTAGTTGTAGTTTTAGGTCATTTGACTAGATGTAGTATTATGTTAAGTTTGTCAATATAGATGTTGTGTATTTTGTAAATATTGTCACTATGGAATAGAACAGATCTTGTTTTTCGAAATTGCCGCACGACAAGCCAACATCATCACGTGTGACGTCATTTGTGGCCAAATTAAGCGACGCGCTAGCCACAGAATATAAATCAAGAAAATAGTAGCCACATATGACATTACCCGTTGTGATTGATCTTCGAACAAATAGATTCGAGACCTTTCAAACGAGCAGCTTAAAGTTTGACAAGTAATTCTTTAATTTCGCGTGTTGTAAAATAAATTAAAAGTATTTTTACGGCTTAATCTTTCCACTTTACAATTTACAGTTTTCGTAGTTACGGACGATTATATGGAAGGGTGAAAGGCATTTTTGCAACTTACAGGAGAGTTATCTATATACATAACGACGCTTGAAAGGCAAACATGACTAAGCGACAATAACTGCTTTGTACATAAATGATAGGCAATAATCATATTCGATGCGCAAAATAAATAAATTTCTAGGTCTATTAAAATCATTTCAATCCTACAGCTACTAGCTAGATTCTACTACAGCTAGATTCGTTAAAAAAATTTTTTTCAGGTATTTCAACTTTAAATTAGTTTACTATAAAGTTCACGCATTGTCGCTTAGTCACGTTTGCCTTTCAAGCGTCGATATGTATATAAAAATTAATTGCTGTTCGTTAGTCTCACTAAAACTCGAGAACGGCTGGACCGATTTGGCTAATTTTGGTCTTGAATTATTTGTGGAAGTCCAGAGAAGGTTTAAAAGGTAGATAAATATGAAAATTCTCAGAATTAAATAAAGTTTAGGTCTTTTATTTATCGATTGAGGCACTACGAAGTCTGCCGGGTCAGCTAGTATAAAGCAAACAAAATTGGAAAAATATCATAACGAAAAATAAACTTCTTCAGCTATTTGAATGGGGTAAACTTAATTGAAGTTGAATTGAAAACATCTATTATTGATGCTAATACCAAATAAAACGCACCTTTAATTACAGAGATAAATTTCGCGTATTAAGCGAAATGTTGCTTAAACCAAATACCCTTTCACCACTCGATATAAACGTTAGGAAGAAACCGTAAAAAATATTTTAATAAAGTTCGACACAAGCCTTTGTTGTCATTGCAATTATTGTAGAATTTAAATAATCTTTAACGCCATAAACCTATAGATAGATAGAATTTGAAATGTGACGAACAAAATGACATGACACAATTGATGACGATCGTTCAAAAACAATTATATTCCATTTGCGACATGTTTCGAATTCGCTCGTGTTGTAAGCGCAGTGATTTATTTAAATCTCTAAGTGTTGTTGTGTTTCAAAAATAATTTATTGTCAACGAATTAGTAATATTGTGGGAGGTTGACTAATATTTATATTTAGTTCGCCTTAAGACTCTGTCAGAGCTGATGAAGGGTATTTCTGCAGGGAAGCCGATGATTCAAGGGCGCGGGCTGAATCCCTTCTTATGCAAGTTCAAGAATGGCTTTTGTTTCTTGGACGTGTGTATTTTCTTGATTATTGTTAGCACAGAAGTTTCGGGTTTTTTTTATTCTTGGAGAAAGTTTTTTTTTTTTTAATAGACTGTCAAACGATTTTGTGTTTTAAACGTCATGTTCTTTTTTTTTTCTTGATCTTAGTAGGCAGCGAATATTTACGGCGTAGGTATATTCGTAGCTTAAAGTCTTAGGCAATCTTTTAAGTTCTCGTTTGGAAATTAGTCCCTATTTTAAGTAATAAGTTCTTTGATTTCCGAAATAATAGGTCCATTGTCGTTTACAACAGACTGCGCGTTTTCTGTCGATGTCGTCACATTGACCCTGTGGTACAATGTGCAAAGAACGGTAAATGCAATATTTATCTTTTGAATTTGAGTTTCATAAACAAAAGAATGAATTGCAACATGCAAATCAAACAATTTGTCATTCGTACAAAGTAAATAAAAGCCATAAGACTGTGAAAATAGAAAAAAAAAACTTTCTTTATTTAACAGAATTTTTAAACAGATATAACTGTTAACTTGGCTGGTGTTTATCAAACTAAAATTTCTAAGTTATTACTTGTGCGTTCTTAGTATTTATTAAGATATTTAAATAGCCGTTTGGCTCAGTTTTTTCAAATCAGGATTGAGAGCAACAAAACTTTGACGAGATTAAAATAGGAAGACAAACTTCATAGTATAGGAAACTAGATAATACTTATTGATAGAATGTGAACTGGAATGTTTAATTCATACATTTATAAGTAAGTTTGATTGTAATTGGAAACAGTATTCGTTGTACAGTACCTGTATGCTAGTCTTAAGTTAGTTTATTAATAATTTATTGAAATGTCCGCCATCTTTGACAGATAATTAATTGCCCACCTCACGCTTCAAGCATTATAGAGTTTTTAATCGTGTACACAGTCGGTGCTGATGACAGAATATTCTAGAAATTAATTTTGTGTTCTTCTATCGAACCGTTTCCTTTTTTTGTGTATTTCGAATAGCAAATTGTGTATTTAACCTTTTTCGTTAATAAGATTTGGTTGGTTTCTGTCGCTGTCGCTCCCGTATTTACAGAAGTAAGGAAGAAAGAGACAAACTAACTAAATTTTGAATGTACATATTTTAGTAGTGTGTAAATCGTATTAAATTTCTTTAAAGGAAAAAAAACGCAACTTTTATATTAATCAAATATATTATGTTGTTGTAGATTAAAATAAAATAAGAAATGTAAAAAAAAATACTTAAATTGGACAGCACCGACTGGATTTTCAACGAGAAAACTCTTTTTGTAGGTAACAAAAACCTTATTATAAAAAGAAAGATAAAAAAATATGTAAATTTATGTGTCTATTTATTGTTTATAGCATTGACATTCCCGCGTATTTAGTTCTAAGCTTTGATTCTGTAAATATATAGTTATTAGATACTTAGATAGTGATTTGTGTTCAATAAACCTTTAGAACAGAAAAACAAATGGCAGATGCGTTTTATTTTCATCATTTTGTCCCCTAAGGTGTAAGTAATATAGACAAGGCGCCCGTCGTCATTTAACAAACGGGCGCCACTGTACAACAAAAGAGTAAATTTTAAGGTTATGTTTCATATATTATCATTTTACTATAATTGTTATAAGTGGCGATTTCGTCTATAAATATAGTCAGCAGTATCTACAGTCAAAAGTATACTCTCTTTCGCCAATAACCTAGGGGGCTATTCCGACTGCGCGCGGGTTGGCGGATGAGCTCACGGGGCTCAACCTGGCAGGCTTTGCTAACACTGGCCCTAGCAAGAGCATCGGATGGGAATCGCGACCTATTGGGAAGATTCGGCGAGAAACTCAATCGCCTGTGTCTAAGGTTGCCCGTCGAACTCTTGCGACGAGTTCGCCGAGAACAGTTCGGTAGGATCCGAAAGGACTTGTTTAGGGCGACGGTTGCTTTGCGTTGCCCCGTCGCTCGGGTCGGAGATTTAATGCGAAGCTTTTTTTTCCTACCTAAACTGATAGCCTTGAGGGGCTATTTCAGCGTAACCTTCACTAGTAGGTGTGTTCACGGGGCTCAAACCTGACGACGCTGCTAACACGAACCCGAGCAAGAGCCGTGCTTCGGAGAATCTACCGCGAGATCGGAAACGCGACCCACTGAGAAGATCCGGCGAGAAACTCAGTGGGCTGTGTCTGTGGATTAATTTACTCGTCGAGCCCTTCGTCGCCAGCGACGGGTTCGACGAGAACGATGACTGATGCTTGAAGTACCTAAAAGCACCGTTAGTGGATCGGGAGGATCCAAAATGACGTGTTTTGGGTGACGTCGACTGCTTTCCATTCTGTCCGCAGGATCGGGAATGACGAGGCGGCCACGGTTAAAGGTATATATAGTGCCACGCCGGTTTTTCGAAGAAGAAAGGAACGGGAGGCCGAGACTAGCTAACCTTTTTCTAACACTTACCATTCCTAAGTATCCTGACCGCAGAATTGAATTCAGAAAATAAAAAGTCCGAAACCCGCACTTCGCACAAATCGTGCACAACAAAAAATGCCTACTCATGATAATTTAATAAAACTCTCGTAAATCACGTTAATAGATATTAATTGCATTTCCCGTTCGTTCGGTCAATAAAAGGTTTCAGTGGCTATTTGATTAACACAATTAATGAGTTATGAACGCGCGCCGTATAGGCCTCATGCTTGAATCAAGTATTTTAATCTGTTTTCAGTACATCAGGGTCGTACGGACATTTTAAGTTATGTATATATAGCCGAGTACCAATTTTGTGTCTCCCAGTATTAGTTGTTACCTTTGTGAAAGCTTTTTTCGAGGTCTACCCGTCGTCCCCTTTCTTAAAATAACCTAGGTATTACAATATTACCAAAGTCTCAGAATCACTGAGTTTTTAAGATAACGTTTCTTTTGTTGACTTACAAGATATTCTTTTGGAGGTTTTGGTTAAAAAATGTATTGCTTAAATGTATCACCTTCAGACATGAATTTTAAGTCTCAATTCTACAGTAAAACGGCTGCCCCACCCTTCAAACCGAAACGCATTACTGCTTCACTACAGGCGAAATAGGCAAAGTGACTCACAAGATAATCTGTCACCAGTAGCTACGCAAATTATAATTTTTGCTTATTTTGCTTTATTTTGCACGATGTAATTTCTTCGTCGCGGAAGTCATTCGTGAATTCGCAATAAGTCCGTACCTGCCTACGGCATTACAATAATAAAATCCAAATCATAGAAACAAACGGATGAAGGAAAATAAAAACACCAAAACAAGCAACAAAAAAGCCCTTGCTTATGGTTACGTTGCAATGGATATTCTCCTAGAGATTTATCCCAAGGAGGGTTGACGTCAAACAAGCGGTCGGCCGTAAAACTCAGGCCAAATCCCTATGCAGCATGATAAAAGGACCCTCTGCTCCGACCCCACATAGTGTGAGATAAAGGCAAAAGCATATGAAGCGATAACACTGTGCAATATGCATACAAGCCGTAAAAATTGTGTTTTGCATAATCACTATACAATTCAAGAGGTGCGTCGCGGTACTCATGTGGTGATACCTGATCCGGTAACCATTTAACACCAAATGGGCTGTGCGCTCGTTTACCAGTCTACGCAATAAAAAACAGCATTTGGATGTTGATAAGTAGTCTAAAAATTTCTTTTTTTTCACTTGAAGCAAATTTAAACAATGTCAAATGATGGGCCAAAATAGCGGTCTTGTTCAGAAAATAACTGCTAACGCACTATTTTAAAAACGAAAATACCGTAACCTTCTATGTAGTATATATCTAGTACTATAATATTATCTAGTATCACACTCATGAATACCTATTCGGTATTAAGTATCCGAAACATTAAGTACGTGTGACGATCTTTCGATGCGTCACTATTAATTTCTATTCCAAGACTGTGTTCGCGATTTGCAAGCCACTTAAAGAATAGTTCCTGTTGGATCGTCTTGATATTTACGTGC